TTTACTTTAAATTATTTGAAATCTTAAGTCTAGAGGTGAGATTTGGTGGTAGGATTTCGTATATGTATTTGTCTGTGAAATCTTAATACGGATTAAAAAGTCTTAGCAATCCAAGTGATACATAAATTGAATATCTCACGACTTCTAAAAAAATTTAAAATCTCAAATGAATATCTCCAGACTTTCAAAAGTTTTAAAAAGTTTGAAGTTAAAAAATAACAGAATTGTTAAATTCAAAAAGCCTTTAAACATCCTGAATGAACACCTTGTAGTTATAGCCTTTAAATATAACAGAATTTTTCAGTTTGCAAGGGGTATTTTTGTTATATATCCTTTAAATTATATGCATGGTATCCCAGTTTCTTGCAAAGTATATCGCAGGTAGCAGTACTACTGAATAGGATGTAGTTTTGGTGATCTGTGACAATCTCATCCTCGAATCAAAATGCATCCTAAATTCCGCTTCTTCTGAAACATCATCTGCATGAAATTATTTTTACAAATGAATCATACTGATTTGACCATTTCCAGGTTGGTTTAGCCATGTCACCACTGAGCAACAACTCCCTCTTCTTGGATTATCATAAGAACCCGTTTCCGATGTTTTTCCAGCGTGGCTTAAATGTCTCGCTTTCGACAGATGATCCTCTACAAATCCATTTAACTAAAGAGCCTCTTGTCGAAGAATACAGTGTAGCAGCAAAGGCTAGTATTTGTTTTCATTATATTCGCTCTTCCTTGCCTATTGAATTGGTATTGAAATAATTTTATATTAACCAGGTATGGAAGCTTAGTGCTTGTGACCTTTGTGAGATAGCTAGAAATTCCGTATATCAATCAGGTTTCACACATGCCGCCAAGGTTTGAATTTGAAAAATCACCTCAAAAAAGTTATTTGTTTGATTTTTCTCCATTTTTGCTTATTTGACTTGTGATTGTACCATACTCCATCAGTTATTAAAAAAAATGTCATTTTAAGAAATTGTACACATTTTATGAAATCTTATATATGATTTGTTTTCTCCTCCTTTAATTCTGATTGTTATGTTCTTGCTCTANATGGTTAATATTAAGTATGGCCAATTATGGAAGATCGTGGGCATTTATGTATTGATTTATTCAAACCGCATTTATTTTGTAAATTATAGCAAACATGTGTGCTAAAAACTTAAAATGACAATTAGTTTGGGTTCTGGCAGTATGCTCCCGAGAGGAATATATTCTTGTGTAGCCAAAAAGAAAGATATGTAAAGTGACAATTTCAATCAAATTCGTAGTAATTTTACCCTAAACAGGTCTTTCGGTTCTTCCATGGGTTGTCAGTTTAGTGCTGACGAATATAGTTTACGTTTAATTTTCTTCCATAGGCACATTGGCTAGGAGATGAATATTACAAGAGAGGACCTGGAGGAAATGATATTCACAAGTCTAATGTGCCAAACATCCGTATTTCTTTCAGACATGAGGTAAAAACTAAAGTCTTCATCTGCTATTACTTATTATCTCTCTTCATGCAAAAGGAACAATAAATTTATAAAATTAAGTTTGATGTTTTTTTGCAGACATGGGTTGCTGAGATGCAATTTGTGTATGCCGGAGCCGGAAAAGCCAGACTTCCTCAGGAGGTCGACCATTAATCAAACTTTTTTTATACCATAGAGACGTAATTTTTCTGTCTGGGTTAAATTATCGCCTCTTAATCCAGGAAGTGCATTGAGCAAATTTGAGTTTTATATATCAGTGATTGTTGAAGGGCCATTACACATTGCCTAAGATGCAACTTTTTTTAGCTCGTATTTTTTTTAGTACAGCGGAGGCTATATGATATGCCTAAGTTTGTTTTCAGCTAGTTTAGTTTTATAAGCTTTCCTTTGGAATATGCTGAAAGGTATTCAGAGAATCTTGTAAGAGGGTGTTCTAGACAATTTATTGAGGTTGTGAGGTTGATTTCAAATTAGCTTCGTGATTAATTTGACTAGTTAAGAAAAATGNTTTTTTTTTTTTTTACTTTTTGAAAAAAATGCAAGGGGCAAAATTGTCCAAAGGGGGGTGAGTAGTAATAGGGGGCGGTGAATAGCGATTGAGTATTTCTAAGATGGCCCCGTCACCCTGCCAACTAGCTTTCATATTTTTATTTTTTTTTCTCTATAATAACTATTTTAACATTATAATTTTGGTTGTCATAGTTTTAAATCATATCAAAATTGAAATGTATGATATTATATTTTTCTTGATAAAATAATAAATTGTTATATACATATATGTCGGTAAAATTGTTTAAACTCGCATAATTACTATCATTGTATCATTTAATCTATAAAATATTACAGCTTATTTAAAGAATTTGTAAGATTTTGTATTATATAATGGAAATGTGATTATGATACTTAATTATATGATTAGTTTGTAAAATAGTGTGTACAGTATTGAGATATTACATTGTATTATGCGATATGATTGAATAAAGTTAATATTATCATATAAAATTTGTAAAATGGTAATTTAGTGTGATTGGTTAATTGAATGATTGGAATATTGCAATTTTTGTGAAGCCTTTTAGCATTCACAATGCTTTGAGTTCATTCAAAGAAATACATAGGTCACGTATAGGAAATAAACCCAGTCTGAAAAAATATATACTTCAACGCAAGTGCAAGTGGATTGGGTCCTGCTGGTGTGACAACAAGAAAAAAAGATTCGGTGCATCCTTAAGTCTACTTTAGACTAAAGTAGAGACATATATAGTCTATTTGCATTGGAGTTAATTTTATACTTTTATATATTTTTTTTTCATGTCATCCAAGACTTAAGTCTATTTACGTGCCATGTAAGCAAAATTAGACTCAAAACATTTTAGATGACACTAGTATGTAGCCCGTGCGATGCACGAGTCAATAATTATAAATTGCATGTGTTAAAACAATGAAAGAATATTTATTAGTATAAAATAGTTCTGAATATTAACATTTTTTTTCTTTCATATTAGAGTACATAATAATTTAACATATAATTTATAAGTTTATTTCACCCACTATAAAATAGTTGTCATTTTAGAGTTCCTGTTTAGAATTAAAGATAATGAAAATTTAACATATTCAATCATTATCATAAATAATACTAACATAATACTTCTTTCCTTCCCTTACTCATATGTTATTACAATATTTCAATTCCTAAATAAGTTATGTTGAAATTGAAATATTGTGTCAAATTTTATAACCAACAATTAATCGAAAAAAGATTGTAATATATATTATTTTGAAGTTAAAAAATTTAATATTTTTAATTACATCAATTTATTTTATTTTATTGTTTAAAATTTATAATGATGTATATTATAAGTATTTTAATTTTCTTTTGTAATCTATTAACTTATATGACAGTTCAACACCAGTTGATTTATCATTATAATTAACAATATACATTATAAATATTTTTATTTTTTATAAGCTAACAATTTACATCGATGTTCCATAGATATCTTGTTGGGTTATCATTATAATTTATAACAATATACATTACAAATTTTTTTCAAAATTAATAATTTAAATGGATAGTTCGATACATGATATTGATTTGTCATAAAATTTGTAACAACAATATTGTAAATATTTACTTTTTTTGTTCTAAATTACTTATGTGTATGTCAGTTCGACATAATTGATTTTTAATTTTTGTTGTGTTATTTTATTACAATTTTATCATTCATATTCAATCATATTTTCTGAAAAAAAAAAAAACTATTTAATAATCGTTTGAAGACATGTGGTAGAAAATCACGGTATATGGTTGATTATCAAATGAATAAGAAATTACAGCGATTCATAATTAATATAAAGGATAAGATTTTTATTTCGATAATTATCACAAAATAATTTTCAAATTCGATACCACCTTATATAGAAAGTCACGCACTAACCGATTTGCAACAAGTAGGCATAGCTTGAATTTTTTTGGAAATATTAAAGTAATTTTGACTATATTTATTTTAATGGTAAATCAACTAATTTAATTATTACAAAGCCAAATTTACTATTTTAAATTATTTCAACAACCTCTTTTAATATATATAAATTACTATAAATTCTATGGAGTCATCCAATAGTTTTCTTATGAAGTCATCTATCATTACTATTTTAAATTATTTCAACAACCTCTTTTAATATATATAGATTACCAGAAATTCTATGGAATCATCCAATAGTTTTTTTATGGAGTCATCTATCACTTAATGTATTGACACATGTTCAAAGTATATTTGCTGTTACACACGCGTCAATACACTATTAATGAATAAGTGTGGATGACTCCATAAAGTCGTGTCATCCTATGACTTCATAGCAAAACTGATTAGATTAAATGTTTTTGCACGTGACTATTGTTGAATAAATAAAGATAAAAATAAAAATAAAATAAAATTATTAGTCAATAATAGTCCAATTTTGCAGTTTGACATCACTTTTACACCAGAAAAAGTAAAATCCAACACTCGTCACCTCGCTCTCTCTCTCTCTCTCTCTCTCTGCGCCTCCGCCATCCTCGGCGGCGTAAATCCCATTTTTCTTTCCTTCTATTGTCCATCCACCCCCACCGATCACAGCACATGGCGGACCCTAAGGCGTTACAGCTCTCCTCAGACAAGATCCTCAACGAAGGCCCCGTCCTGGCTGTGTTCAACAAGCGTCTCCGCGCCCTGCGCAAAAAACTCAATCGCATATCCCAAATGGAGGAGTCTCTCTCCAAAGGGAAATCTCTTAACAAAGAGCAGAAGGAGACCTTACGCTCGAAATCATCGGTGATCACCACCATCAACGAGCTCGAGAAAATCCTCCATCCCGTCTCGGAGGCCGTGGATCTCGAAATCCAACTCGCTCTGGATAAATTTAAGCAAACTGCCAAATCCTTAGCAGAGGAAAGAGAAAATGAGCTTCAGTCGGCTATTTCTGATCTGCTTGGTTTGCTTTACTTGGGCAGCTTGTTTGATATGCACACATTGATGAGGGCGTCCGAGTGTATGCTGATAAGGGCGCATGAGAGGAACTGCTGTCTCACGTACGATTGCGTCACGGATGATGATGGTGCCTCGGATGAATTGCTGAAAGAGTGGGATTTTGATCTGATTGCGATGATGGCGGGCTTGTTGACGTCCCGGCCGGTGACTTCAAGGTTGCCTCATAAGATCTCGTTCCAAAGGTGCGTGGAGCACGCCAAGCTATGGCTGGAAAATTCTGAGAAGCAGATCGAGCCAGATTCAGGGATCACTTGTATGAAAATTTTCGCATACTTATTCTAAATGTCCAATTTTCAGTTATGCAAATGTGTGAATATTTGGTCATTGGTCTGTATGCTTTATTGTTGGTGTTATTTGCTTCTCGATCCAGTATATTACGTCTGATGCTAGGAATTTCTATTTTTAAGCGTTCAATTGCTTGCTCAGGTGATTGGTACACTTGTGAACTAAACCTTGCTGTTGATGTGGATGACCAAATCACTTGTACTGTGAAGCTTGTTGTTCTAATACATAAATATGAAAGTATATATTGGTTAACAGTAATGTGTAATGTGGTTTGCAATTTTTATTTGTCAATTGAAAAAAAGAATAGCTCTTATTGGAAGGGAACGTATGGGTAAATTTGGTTATTTATGTTGGTACAGTAGTCAATAAATTGTGAAATTTGGTCTTTGGATCTGCACTGATCCATTTAACTTGAAAATCTGTTTAAGATTATTTATTTATTGTCTCAAATCCAGCATCAAAACGTGTGTATGTATTTGGTAAATATTAGTGAAACTTGAGTAATATAACATCGGTTTCTATGTGGAAGTTGTTTTATTAATTTGTTTCTGCTGTTTATGTGTACTGAAAATTTTGTTGAAGTGCTAAAATGATAGACTCTACTTAGTATTATGCTTGTGTAGGTGCTTAAGAGTTTCTCTACACTGGCATGTGAGTTTTCTCATATGTTTGATTCTTTATCCTCTTATTATTATTATAGAATGCGCATGCGAGAAAAGGCTATTGTTTCAAGAAGTACAAATATACAATGGGTTGTATAGTGGTTAAAAAAATCTTTGTATTTCATGGTAATTGTGTGCATAAGTTACTGTGATAGTATTCTTGTTCCATTTTGTTCTTTACTTTTTCTTGTGTGTTATTTTCCTCGTGGTATTTTCCATATGTTGTCAGAATTTCTATGTGCTGGAAAATATTGTCTTGGAGTTCTCTAAAATGTTGTAGTTGTTTCATTCTGTAAATTTGTTTATCCTTTTCTAAATTCATGGTGCCATCTTACTCTTTAGATGCCGATCTGAGACGGAAGCTGAACAAAATAATGCGTTCGGATTACTTCACCAAAAATCCAGTGATGAAGGCTCCCATTGAAATGATTCAAGCTGCTGGCAATTATCCATTTCAGTTTTTGGTGCATAAGCCTGTGATACCTGAAGTTTTTGTCAATGGACCAATGGAAAGTTCATCTGCAGAATTTGAACAAGAGGTAAAGTCGAGGGTAAATGGTGTGCCTTTTCTTAACGTGTTTATGCGTGATTTTTCAGATGTTGCATGCTCCCTATTAATTTACTGCACGGATAAAAATATACCATGGTGGATAGATCTTTACATAGATTGTACACATCTGTATATAGATTAAACAGGAATTACTACTTTTCTTTTTATGTTAATTTTCTAGGTCACCTGGCAGGGAAGATGGTTCTGACTTAACATTGGGTGGTGCTACCTGACCATACCTTAAGATTCTCGAGTTGGATGCTGAACTTTTAATTTACGAGCATTTTATACAATGGACCATTGAAGTTAATTTTCACATTGCGTGTTGCAAAATTTTATGTCTCCCTTTCACTACAACAGACTCCATCTGCATCGATGTGGAAGCACTCTATTTATGATAAGTAGGTAGGGTTCCAATCTTCAAGTGCTTCATCTGGGATATTTATATATCATGCTTGCAAATCTCGTAGTTTTTCAACAGAACTTGGTTATGTATCCATGAACCTATGTTTTCTTGTTCAACATTTGCATTCATTCACTCATGTTTGGCACTTCCCTAGATAATTGGCTGGTGTTTATAATCTATCAGCTTACTTACCTTTTACATTGAATAACTAAAAAGGCTTGCAACCTTATTCTTAACCTTGAGCCCTTTGCTCTAACCTGTATATAATATATATATATATATGTGTGTGTGTGTGTGTGTGTGTGTACAGATAAAGTGGTGAACGTATTAGCTGTACATGAATGGAAAAACGAAGTGTGATTGTTCAATAAAAGGTGAATCTCTAATATTCATAGTTATCGAAGGCGTGTTCGGCAAAAGGCCGTCGCTTATTGCCTTGATGTCTTCCTGGTGCAACCCTTTGGGAGAGGAGGGTGACTGCTAATTGTGATGTTATCTTGTCGACATTATTGACAATGTTCAATTATTGCCTGATAATTGATGTTGTGCTGGATATGTTTTGTTATTTTTTGAGGTTGATTGGTAGAAGAATATCAGTGTATAGCATGGCCAAGGCCCAAGGCTATCCTTTTGTTGGCTAGGTCGTGGTCTCTAGGTCAAGACTTGCCACATATCACATTCTCGACCATCATAATTTTACCATTGAGGTTTGGCCTTATATGATCTTAATACATTATCTTTCAAGATTATAAAAAATATGCTTTTAGATGCTACAAATATCTCCTCAAAGTTTGTATGTGCTTGAGAAGTACCTTCATATTCACTGTGCAATATGTATTACAGAAATATAGGGTGTTTGTAGTTTTGGCAATAATTAGGTTCTATTGTCGTGCAACTAAAACACAATGATTGTTTTTAAGAAAAAATTGACCTGGTGAAGCTATATGTGAATGTACTTCTAAACATGCAGCTCAATAGAATCTTTAGTAATACAAATTATTAATCTTGTGAACTTTGCAGTAAAATGGGAATTGTAGATAGTTGTGAAAAAATAAATTGAGCTCGAGCTCATCTGTGGTGGTGCATAAAGTACATTGTTCATTTAAAGTATGCTATTAAGCGTGAGATAGCTTTTCCATATCGGTTTGTCTATATTTAGATGCTCAAGTTTATTGCTAATGGAATTTTCAGAGAATATAAAACTAGAAAAGGCAGTTGAGGGAGAGAAGTACGTATCATTCTTCTAAGCACTTAGGAGCATTCTACGAATCTGTTCAATATTGTTGTTTTTTGTGGTGTGCTAACTCAATTTGATTCCTAGCAAACTTACGGCAAATGAAGTTCCAATGATATAGATTAATACGTCTTCAAATGAACTTTTGAAGCAGCATATAGAAGTCCATTTTGGAATAACCACTGAACACAACTTTCTTTCTCACCTAAATGGATCTGCATTATCATCCATCTTAAATAGGCTGCCTAACATGCTATAAGTCATTGAAGATTTAAGTGACTAGGATGTTAAAGTATATATTACGACATATTTGACGTAAGCAATTTTTTTTTCTTTAGTGGTAAGTGTTATTAATCATTACGGTACCATTTGAAGCTTATTCTCTTTGACATTCCACACCATAAACCATTACTTTCTTTTTTATTCTTCATGAGCTTAAAGCTTATACTCTTGCTAATAAGAATTGTTCTAAAATGCCACCAATTATTGTTTAAGCGCGAGACCCTTTGACCGCATTTCTTTTGATTAGAATTCCCATTATAAACCCTGTCTACTCATGGGCAGAACAAGATACTTATTTTGAGGGGGTTGTTTTTGTGGGATATGGATTGGGTTAAATCAATAGAAATATAAATATGTAGTAATGTGCGCATATAGTAACTTTTTTAGGAAAACTTTAGTGTGACTTAGATACCACGTAAGACAATGAGGATATACCATTGTGCATATTCCGTCACAAGCTCATTTAGGCTCTAGGTGATGATTGCATAAAACAAAGTGCTTTTTGAACATTGCTTTTTTAATCAAGTTCCAATATTTGAAGCATATAGATGTATATTTCTTTTCTTGTTTCTTTCTAATCTGTAAAGTTTTTCTTCCCTAATTTGGGCAGGAGTTGACAATGGTAACTAATTGACCATGAACCGGAATTGCATTGATGATATGTGAAATTACTAAGAAACGTGATATTTTATCTCAAAGCGAGAGGTTGTGCACGAAATCGTCTCTTATTGAAGATGTTATGTACCTTAAGTGGTGTGAAATTTAATGCCAAAGGGTATTTACTCACCAAACTATTTGCCGCAACTAGGTTCTTGAAGTTATTGTCCTTGTACTTTTTAATTTTTCTTCCAGTTATAAGTAATAACAATCTGGCTTTATCTCGCCTGTTACATCTCAATTCATCTTCTCATTAGTGTGGACACATTTATCTAGCCTTGTCTTATTTAGATCATAGACAAACAGATGTGAATAAATTTAAGTTCAATTTTCCATAGGAAAAATATTTGGCGGATTATTGTTAAGTCATTCTTCTCTATGAACGTGTATATTATCTAAATAGCTTGCTGGAATAAAATCCTAAATATCATAGCGTGATAAATATTTTAGATTTTGGATAATGACTTTCAGATTTAGTTTTCTAGGCATTCTTTGTATGTTGTTATATACCTTATATGCTTATCCTTCCGTGGAAATGCTTCTTTTACAAGCAGATGAAATCTAAATTCTGGGATGGCTTCTCTTTATTTGCTGAGATAACAATTTTGTGTTCCTTTGCATTGAAACGTAGTTTCTTCTTGTTTGTTTTAGTAACAGGCTTTTGACTTGGGTTGTGCAGAGAAATTGTAATTTATATATTAGTATAATCTCTTACTTAATACTCTTTAGTATTTCTCCTTGTCGTTTTATCTCTTTGCCTTTTCAAATATTAGTTTTGATATCAATTTCAGTTATGGTTATGCATTAATATTTCTATTTGGCGATCTCATCTCCATTTGTAATGACTACTAATGAAAATTTCACAATTTCTAGTTAATAATTATCCCCTCAGAGCTTGATGTTGGGTTTGTCGTTATTGAGATATTGCTATATTCATCTGCACGATTCCTTGTAGCTTACCTGAGTATTAATTTCTGTGTCTGGTGCAATCTCTTTCAGTTTCACATTAGGCCCAGTTTTCACTTGCAGGAGTAAAAATGACTGGATTGCAATGGCAACTAAAATTCAAGAATTTGAAACTACCCTAACTGAAGAAATTCCTCAGGTTTGTTTTTGCTTTCTTTAAACGAAGTTATTTCCCAGTTCAAACTCGCAGACTAGTCTTTACTTTATTCCTCTATATGAATAATAATAATTGACAGAGGATTGGTTAACAGCAATGGAGGGTGAAGCATCATCAGTAGGAGCGAGCAATGGGCAAGGCCAATTTTATGTTTAAACAGGTAATCTATATCAATATCATGGACCAATCGCTAAAATTAGTATATATTTTCCAGCTTAAAATTTTCTACTAAATATGAAATATTATAAAATTTAAATCAATTCTAAAAGTTTGTTCATAAAAGGTTGTTTTTGACTTTCTAAATTTATATAAATTTTAAAATTGAATATAATATCGATATGAATGATATAACCAAACTATATTTCGACAATTCCATATTGAAGATTGCATTATTTTGACATTAACGAATAATAATAGTAAGTAATCATGGTATAGTATTTAAACTCATCGAATGAAGGCTTAATTTAAGAGGCATATGTAGCACCCAAAATATTCAAGTTATAATTTATGAACTTATTTTTCATATTATTATTATTGTTATTAGTAAAATTATTTTACATTATTTCAAATGTATAAAAAATTATATTCTAGGTGAATGAATAAATTAAACATTTTAAAAAGTGTTTTGGATATAATATCATTTGTACAAATTAAATTTTATATTTAAAAACCCAAGATTGACATTTAAATAATTGAAACATAAATTTAGACTCAAATAGTTTTACCTAAAATATATTTGTAGAAGAATAATAATTATGAATTATTATAATTAATACATTCATTGAAATTTATATTTATTTTAAATTAATTAAGAGATATGAAAATAACTTAGAAGTACATTAAACCTAGACAATTGTTTATTAAACCCTAAAATTTACCTATTTCTCACACATTTTTATTTTATCATTATTATTAATATGGCTATTAAAGTTATTAACATTGTTATTGGGATTAATTTAAGTAAATAATGTCAAAGTAAGTAAAGAGGAAGACTTATTCAAACCTCTTCGTTCCCCCCACCTTTCACCAAACTCTTGCAATTAGTTATAAGTCCCTATCCCTCTACCCTTCCTTTATATTTGCTACGTCCAGGCCACCACTTTCATACCCACTATATACATATCGAACGACTAGAGTATAAAAACGAAAGATTTGAGTAACCCAACCCTCCGACCATCTCCCTCGTTTCTCATCTCCCCGTCGGTCCTTCCGCCCTCGACCAAAAACCCTATAGACAACTCTGCACCTTTCAAATCTATGTATTAGGGCCCCTATTCTCATCGATTTGATGATGATGTTCTAGTCGATCTATGATTTCTCACGTTTTCACTGCGTTCTATCCGCCGTTCCTTCGTAATCTTGACCCCTAAAACTTAGTCTACTATTTTTACAATGAAGTTCAATCTCTTATCTTTCATTAAGAACAAGAATCACGGAATCATCTGTTTTATATTAAATGTTATGTCCAAAGTTCGATCGTTGCCTAATCAATTTTCTTTGTGAAACGTAGTCGTACCAGTATGTTCTTTGTTGTTTTGGTCCTCGTTGTCTAGCAGAACCTTTTTGATGTCTTAACATGACTTGTAGATACATATTTTATGTTTCGTTAGGCGCAAGAATCACACGATTATCTATTTTATACTGAAAGTGATGTCCAAAATTTGATCCTAGCGCAATCTGTTTTCGTTGTCATATGTGGTTATAGGTAGTCTGTCTTGTTTTGCTGCTTTGACCCTCTTCGTGTGGCCTGACATTTTTGATGTCCTATATCATTTTCATATGTTTACGTATGCACAAAAATCACTCAATTATCGATCTTATATAAAAAGATATGTTCTAATTACGATTCTTGCGCATGCCCGTTTTCTGTCAAATGTAGTCGTTGGTTGTCCCCCTGTTCATGATAAATTTTCAATTACCTAGTTTTGATGACAATGTCTTCATGCAAGCTGTGTATCTGTCTCTTGGCTTTTGTTAGGGGCAAGAATTATTTCAATAACTATTTTGTATCAAAATTTATATCAAACATGCCATTGTGCTAGCTGTTTTCCAACAATTTCACGATTTTGAATCCTTTTAAACCGTTTAGATGTTCTCATAAGCATTTAGGGTGTTCACAAAAAATGTAATTTAAGTGTCTTATCTTCTCCTAGTTTTGAAATCAACAACATACATATTTTCGGCAAAGTTATATTTAAAATTCACGAACTGTGCTTGTTAATTTGCAACCAGTTTCCCGCAGCAGCTTAACATTTTGTTTTCGACTATCTACTCTTTTCTAAAACATTCTTTTGTACTTTGAGTTTTCGGCAAAGTTGTAGCTATACCTCTTAGAGTTCTGTAGGAGAAAGAATTAGAAGGTACCAAGTTCAGAATGTAAACTCATGTCCCCATAGCGAAGAACGAATCACGAATCAGGCAATGTACTATACTCATCCTTGCTCTAACCATCTCCATAATAGACCTACTCCTTTGTTTCGCTACGCCATTTTGCTGGGGCGTGCTAGGCACTATCAGTTGGGATTCAATCTCATTCTCCGATAAATATTTCCTAAACTCTCCCGAGAGGTATTCGCCACCACGATCAGTGACTTGATACTTTTACCACATTGCTTCTCCACAATTGCTTATACTCCAAAAACTTCTCGAAGCATTCAGACTTGCGGTGTAACAGGTAGACGTATTCATAGCTCGAGTAATCGTCAATGAAAGTGAAGAAACACTTGTATCCTCCTCTCGCCTGGAGTGACATAGGACCACAACATCGAAATGAACGAGTTCTAACACATCACTGACTCCATACCCTTTGGCCTTAAAAGACCTCTTATGCATTTTTCCCTCTAGGCAGTACTCGTAGGTAGGGATGGCAAAACGATTTGGACTTGGCCGGACATGGCCCGACCCGGAGCATTTGGCAAGGTCCGAACTCTTTCTATTAGTAGCAAGATGAGGAGCCCCGAAGGGAAGGGAGAATAAGAAAGATTAACCGACGCCGCGTTTTCAGAAGAACCAATTGGATAAGAATCATACGTGTGAATGAGCAGACGAATCGACCGAGGTTCGAAGTAATTGAGCAAGAACAGAACCTAACTCTACTTCTTTTTCCTCCTCTCCTCTTTACTGCCCCCCGCTATGCTATCCTATCAACAGGACAGTCAATATCTGTAGTGGAGAAAGAAGAGTAGCCCCCCAGGTCATCAATTAGTAATAGAATAATCCCAGTAGTAGTCCTCTTGCCTAGCGGAGTCGGCCCTTAATTTAATGGGCAGACCAAAGATTGGACATCGTTGTCTAAGCGTGCTTGCTTTGCACTGGCCTGCCCTGTTTGTATAACGGGTCGGGGTGGGTCCGACCCGTTAGAAAAACGGGCCATCTATGTATTGCCCCTCCCCATCCCGACCAGACCCGGCCCAACTATTTAATGTAATATATATATATATATATATATTTTGTAAGTAATTAAGTAAATGTTAGGATTTTCTTTTCTCTCATTCCACTTGCTGACCCGCCTCTCTTTCAGTCTTTCTCTTCTCCAGTTCTCCTCGCCCCCGTGTTGCTCTCCCGTCTCCTCTTCTAAAATTCACCCAACCGGCCAACCCCACGCCACCAGACACCACTGCATGTGGGGATGGCAATGGGGCAGGTCGGGTTGGGTAGTTCAGTACTCGGACCTGCCCCGTGCCCCGCGACCCTAGGCCCGCGGTTGGGACCTCAGGTCCCGGAAGGCCGTCGCCGGGGCGGCCAGCTCCGACCCGCCTGTTTTTTTGCCTACAACATGGGCCTTGCTGGGTGGGCCACCCCGCCGCGCCCGCCCCGTATTGTATTTTTCATGGTTTTTTGGTCTTGTTCAATTTTTGCCTACAATTGCATGGGCCATTATTCTATTTTTGGGTCCATCCACAAACCCAAAAACCATAGAGCAAACATTATCACAACACAAAAGACATAACAAATTAAATAACATTAGAGAACATAATTAAATAAAGGAGTAACATGACCAAAATGAAAGCATTTGGAAAGGGTTTATCCACCCTTAGTTACAACTATCCCAGATAAAAGCATATCCAAAGTACAAAGCCAACATTAAATAGAAGTAACAAGACAATGACAATGTACTTCTAACAAGCCAACAAAGTTTTTCCACAACAAAGTTGAATAAAAAAAAAATATGCCTTTGAACAACAAAGTGTCGCCCTGCCAAGATGAAATCCTCCCAATGGACTTTCATACAAATAATAAAAAAGATAAACTTAAATAGAGCCAATAGTATATCATACACAACTAAAAAATATAATTAAAAAAGAATCATATCATACCTAAGTCCCGTTATCCTCGTCATCCGAATCATAAAAAACCGTTGCATTTTCATTTTATTTTCTACATTGAATACAAAGAAAAGTAACATGCATAGTAAATATAGACTTGAATATCAAGTGCTTAAACATCAAATTAAATTGATATATTAATAGAAAGAATTACATTGCTCGCATTGCATCCACCTTTGTGGTGAAGTTTAATAGTCGTGTGGTGAAGTTTAATACGATGAGGACGGATCAATCATCCGCTTGTACTAAAAGCGGACTCGGAAGCAACTAGAATTGCTAAAATATCCCGAGCAATTTGATGCAAAATTTGGTACTTGCCTTTATTAGAGTTCCACCAACTTAAGACGTTGAAATCAAGCGGTTGTGGTAGAACGTCCTCATCCAAATACAAATTAAACTCCGATTTTGTAGATTTTCTCTTTTATTGACAGGCGTACAAGTCAAATCCACTAAGTAATGGGTCATTAGAAAAATTAGGATCGACCAAGCCACTTGTATCACCACCTCAGGCATACAAGTCAAATCTACTAAGTAATGGGTCATTAGAAAAATTAGGATCGACCAAGCCACTTGTATCACCACCTCTCTTCCCCTTAGCCTTGTATTGTTGTACCAACTGACGACATATATCAAGTATCTCTTCAAACTCATACTCACCATTGGTACCATAAATTATTGGAAATAGTATTCAAGCAAAACACATTTATACCTAGGATCAAGCACAGTTGTCACTCCCATGATACCATGCACATCGGACTAATAATTATTAAATTTAGTCAACATTTCTACCACCATTGACTCAAACTCACCCATACCACAAGTAACTCACTTAT